ATATTTATTAGAGAAAGAACTAATGAATCTAGCTTGAGGACCTGTTGCGAGCAGTAAAATGTTGGCCAATTTTTATTATTAATAGTTAGAGATTTCAAACCAAAGCTTGGTGAAGGTTGGAAAATAAAAATTTATGGTGTATGTGTGAAAGGAAATAATCATATAGATAATGATTGTGAGTATTATTGGGTCTTATAGGAAGTACTACAGTTCGAATATCCTAGTGAAGAGAATAACTTGTATCTTTTTAATTGTGATTGATTTGATCTAGTGCAAAATAGAGAAATAAGAGTGCATCCACTTTATGGTATTACAGAAGTAAAGTGAGGAAGAAGATATGGAAAATATGATCCATTTGTCTTTGCTAGCCAAGCTACCCAACTATTTTTTGCGACTTATCCAAGTAGATTATAGGGTAAGCAAGATTAGCCTGTAGTCATCAATACTAAACCTATGGGGTTTATTAGGAATTATGTATTAATACTAGTGGCACATCAGGAAGAGTGTATGTTAAACTTTAAAGAGCCTGCTGATGATGTAGATGATCAAATTATAGCTAATGAAATCGAGTTGCAGTTAGAGGAGGTAGACTTAGACATTGAAGAAAATATTGAAGATGTTAGTAGTGAGGATGTGGTCTCATCAGATGAAAGTGAATTACTTAGTGATAATAATAATGAAATAAATATGAATCACCTAGTATGTTTTTTCACATGTTAGCATATATACAATAGTTCTTTTTTTACATGTTAGTATCATTACATTAGATTTTTTTTTTTTTTTTACATATTAGCATATATATAATAGTTCCTTTTCTTGCATTTAACTTACTTATCTCTTGCATTTCTATTAACATATAAATTATAGCTAATTATTTCTTCTACTTTCTACAAATTTCTTCTGGAGGTGGTGAGCCCCATAAGCGCCCGATCACAAATATTTTTAGGATCAGAAAGAATACTAGTGGAGGATCCAGTATGGGTAGAGGTACTGAGGGGACCTCCTCTTCACATCCTAGCCTAGGCCCCCTTTACCTACACCTCATGAAGGGAGTCCTCCGTTTTACTCCACAGACCCCCTTTTCCATCACAAAACCCTGTGCAGACGGCTCCTTATTACTCATACTACCTGACCATATTCTCATGGATTCTCTGCTACTTATTCCTATCCATTAAAACTTCCACCATTTTACTACCCACAACCCCCTCAGCCCTATGTAGCTGGACCTTCCACCCTAACTGTAGTTGGACCTTCCACGTAGGCTGCCATTGAACTGATTGCAGATGGGAACATGTTAATTTAGCATGAGGGTGACACATAAGAAAATGTGTATGTTTTATATTACACATATATTTGAGAAATAATATTCTTCAACTAAATTATTTTTGCAGGTCTTATCCATCAAAGCGGCCCACGCACAAGATACGTGATATCATATAGAGCGGGTTTGAAGTTCTATATGTCTCTTGGAAGAAAATCCTAATGGAAGTGTGTGACATGTGGTTCAGGGAGTTTGAGGCTAGTACGTTATAATAGTATTAACATCTCTTCATATTTTAATATGTTAATAAAGAATATTTTTTCTAATTTGTTTTATACAATAAGATTTCTATTGGTTGCGTGAGCATGTTACTCAAATTAAAACAAATTTTGAGAAATGCAAAGCAACCTTCCTGTGAGACATGTTCACTTAGATTAGGAGGGAAGACGAGCAACTGCTTTGGATTAGAGAGGGTGTATGGAAATAGCTCAATAGTGCTTGGGGTAGCCCAAATTTTATGGTTAGAAGGGAGAAAAATAGACATAACCAAGCTTCTGACATCAAAGGATAGGTAGCTCCCTCTATACTGGGGCTCAGTTCCACACTGAGCATGAATGATGATTGGTAAGAGTTTTAATATATTTTAATAATGTTTTATTTATACACGCTAATTTAAGTATATTATAGAAGGAGATACTTTATAGAGAACCCACTGCATTTGAGTTATATAGTCATACTCATTAACGCCAGGAGGACTAGCAGTGGGTTGATGAGCGAGTTAGGAAGACATATGTAAGTGTATAAGCATATTATACTTATAGAAATATTGTAAGTGATGATTATATGATGAGTAATTTATGTTATATTTTATAAGATGAGTATATATAGCTTCGAGAGAGTCAGACTATAGCAAGTGAGGGTTCCTATAGGGGATGTGCAGATGTATCTGACTGCCGCACTTGGTCAGAAGCGGTAGGTGGAATGCAAAAGGGACGTGTTTATGAATTAGGCTCGCAAGCCTACGAATGTGAGGGATTGCCCTCTTTTGCTACTAGCTACTCCATATGAAACTAATAGAGTTTATATAGCCAACATGTAACTAACTTTATAGTAGAGTTAGAAAATGTACAAAAAAAACACAAGCACATATGAACATTCAGATACTAGATGAGCTTAGAAGATTAAGATAGTAGATTAGCAAAAATCAACATGCACTTACATTGGTTGGAGATGAGAGTGATATAGATTCCGCCAAGAGTGTCTATAAAAATATTTTTGATAAATTTTATTTCTTTTGATGTATAAGAACTATTGAAACTTTAATAGTGAATTATATAATTTTATCAAATGTAGCTATTTGTTTGAGGTATTGGAATGTTATTGTTGGATTATTATTGATTTGTATTACTGCTTTTGATTATTGCTTTTAAATTGTTTGAATTAGTCTTCTTAGAAAGCTCAATAACAAATAGCAATAGCTTTTTTTTTATGCTATTAGTTTCTACATATTTGTGGCATAATTTTCATCCCAAATGTTGATATGATGAACTAGTATCATTTTTTTTGTGTTAGATTTTGTGATGGAAATATCCATCACAAAATGCGACGGCTTTGTGATGGATTTTCCATCACAATGTACAATGTATATTCCACTCCAATTTACAAAAAAATTTTGGTCGTATAGCCTCTGCAAATCCGCCACAAAATATTTGCGACGGATTTGTTCCCTCGCTAATACTTTTTCTAGGCGAGTTTTAACAGTGGAATCAATTCTTTTGCAAATCCGGCACAAACCTGGATTTGTGATGGATTTCCCTTATTTTGCAGCGGATTATTCCACCGCAAAAAAGCTGAATTTCCTATAGTTAGATTTTTCATTTTTAAAACATTTTTTAATTTTTTTGGTTGTTATGACAAAGGTGGTGATGGAGCATAATTTGATAAAGATATAAGTAAAGGAGGTTACTTTGAGGGTGTTAGCAACAAAGACCACATTAAAGGTGATAGTGTACGAGGCTAAGACAAGTGTGAAAATGGAGGATTTATGGTGATGAAGAGCATGAAATGGTATCCTAGCTAGTCTTAGCTTTAGTGGCAATCCATTCTATGGAATCCCCGATAATGTTAGAAAGGAAGAGCAATATACATAAAGATGTGATCTACCAAGATGGGAAACACTTTTATGAGTTGCATTTATGATAGAAAATGAGAAGTCATAATAGTATTGATTGAGTAACTACAGCAAATAGTCATTGACAAATAAGAGAAAGTATACACATTCAAGGAAATGGTAGTGCGACATGACATAAAGATAGGTTTAATTGAGTCTCTTCAAGGGATTGTGATTTTTTTACTTCTATGAACATAAGGAGAATATTATGCAGAGGAACAAGATATTGGCTATTAATTCTCTTTGTTTTTTTTTTAAATAGATTAAATTAATAAGAAGCGACTCCCTTGAATTTTTGACTACTTAAGGAGTAATAAAAAAGGCTTTCATTATCAAATATATCCAATAATTTAACGCTTAGATGTAAGAGATCAAAGATAAAATATAAAGAGTTTGAAAGATAAAAGAGGGTTACATGTATCTCAATGCAGATATATTTCAAAGGCTCTGAAGAAACTTTAAATGGATAGTGTTAAATCCATTTTGTCTCTGTTGGGTTGATATTTTGATCTTTAAGCCTTATAGTCTAAAGTTGAATGTATGTGAATATAATTTCTTATGCAAGTGTAGTTGGCAGTCTCATATACTCTATGATTTACATTATACCAGATATATCTTATGCAATGAGTACGTTATGTAAATACACGAGTAAACTTGAAAGATAGCATTGAAGGGCTATCAAACAGATTTTGATATATTTGAAAAGTGTAATAATAACAAGGCTCTACTTTCTCCCTATGTATATAGGCACCCCATCCTAAATCATGTAAATATCTTGTGTTCTTGCTCGTGCTTATTCTCTATTTTCTTTTTGTTGTTTCTATTATTGCTTACTCTTCATGTGCATAATATTTCTTGAAATCTACTTATTTTACTAAGATTGTGTAGGGAACAATAATATAGTAAACATCAATTATTAATTATTTTTACAAAAGTTTGCCACAGTCAATACTTATACAAAATCTCTAACTTAGCTCATGGTGAGTGAAACCTAAGAGAGTATTTAATATTACGAGTATAGACATCATACCTATAAGAAGTTGATATTAAAAACTTAAAATATAGTTTTATTTAGTAAAAATTGATTAGATATTGGATTTTAAAATATATTTAATAATTTTAAATTAAACTTTCATCAAATTTAAATGATGAGTTAAATTTATATCATTGATTTAGTAATTAAAGCTTTCTTATTAACTATAATTTACTCATTTAATTTTAGAACCTCCCTAAGACATCCTTTTCCGCAGCTAACCAATAACTGCCACGTGCGGGTAGAGGAGCCGTCATAACGACCTTCCAAAAAAATAAGAAAACCGCCACGTGTCTATCCACATCCCAACCCGGTGACCAGCTAATCACCCACCCCCTATCGACCCTAGACAATAAAATCCCATCATATTCAGATCCCGCTCCCCACTAAATAAATTCGAAATGACAAAATAGTCCCTCTCATTCAATATCTTTGAATATTAGTCCACGCGTACGATGAGGACAAAATCGTCACAACATAATATAAGCCGTTGCTCCTTCTTCCTTAACCTCCTCGTGCGCTGCACCTCTATTTCATCGCAACCCCACCCTGATCAATTACTCCGGCAGCCAACTTCGCCGACGAGAGAAAATTCGATGAAAAAACTGATGAGGAACTCCGATCATTACAACCGCGCTCATCGGATTCTCTTGCTCCCGACGGCTCCATTCCTCCTCCTCCTCCTCTTCCTCGTCGCCTATTACTACAGTCCCGCTCCCCTGTTCACCATCTCATCTCTCAAATCGCTCCGCCTTTCCCTCCCTATAACCTCCACTCCTCTCCATTCCGTCTCCTCTTTTCTGGCGGCGGAAGTGAGGGCATCGAAGATCGCGATCTGTCTCGTCGGAGGCGCGCGGCGGTTCGAGCTCACGGGGCCGTCGATCATGAAGAACTTGCTGATGGAATACCCGAACGCTGATCTCTTCCTTCATAGTCCTCTCGATAAGGATTCCTTCAAATTCTTTCTTCTCAAGGACGCGCCGAGGATAGCCGCCATGCGGATCTTCGAGCCCGGACTCATCTCCGAGAATGAATCGCAGCTTCGCGTGCTTCGATTTCGCGATTCGCCGAATGGCATTCAGGTTGGTCTATTCCTCCCTCGCCGGCCGGCTCGTCTTCCTCCCTAGCTGGTTTCCCTTTCTGACGTTTTATTTATGCATCCTGCTTATTTTTGGTAGTGAAAAACTATTCTTTACAATTAAAATATTTAAGTTATTTTTCTCTCAATAATTTCACAACTATAAATTGAATATATAAAAATTTAATTAAAAAAAATCTTTACTTATAATTAATTTGCTTTTGAAAATGCTAATTGAATTAAATTTCATGAATTTGACATAAAAAGAGAAGACAAGACAAGCGCCTAATTTTTGAAAAAAAGGCAAATATTAAACATCATTAGGTTCTTATAAAATCTTTTCTTACATAATAAATATCTTACTATATATGTATATATATAAAAAGTTAGAAATTCTGGCATTAAAGAAGTTATAAAGAATTTCTTATAAAATTTCTAACCATAAATAAAGGTACGAAGATTGAAGAGATTATTAAAGCGGTGATGAGCACAACTGATATTTCACAGAAACTCTACATAAAATAAGAAATTTGCACAATGCAATGTTTCGTATGCCTTACTTTCTATTTTTTCAATGAAATGGCTATGGAAGTTGATGGATATGGCTCAACGTGCCTAGACGACATAGCTTAATTTTGATTTAAATAAGCTTTTGCAAACCATATAATTAATTATTTTAAGAATGCATTTTTTCTTCGAAGCACGTTTGATTTGAAAAGAGAAGTAAACGATAAATAAAAATAAAAATTTTATATAAAAATACTCTAATATAAATTGTGCGAGAATAATTTTAAAATCATGAAGGGTATTTGAGGAATGGTTGCAATGTTTTATTTAGGTTTCGTTTCTAATGGTTTTCTTACTAGTTCTTAAAATAACATTTTAGTAGAACAAATTTAACTTTTGTACAAAAAAGTTGATTTAAGAACTAACAAGAAAGTCATCTCAAACAAAACTTTAATTGTGAAGTTACTGTGGATCACAGTTTTCTTATTGCTTTGTTTTTTTAGATCACACCTATAGTTTATATTTGTTCATTATTTTTTATTGCTTTCAAAAAAATTTGTGCTTAAAAGCTACTTTCTACAATAACTTTCAGAAAATTACTTTCTTCGAATTCACAGTTGTTTTACAAACACATTTACAAAAGTTGTAGTCATTCCAAACTATTGGTGCAACCAATTCAAGCAACTCGCAAGCCAGCTCGAGCTCGCTAGTCGATCTTATCGAGTTTAGATCCTACCGAAGCTTATTGTCGAGCTCGCATTCAATCCTACCGAAGCTCGGCTTGATTACTCGTTGAGCGGCTCGTGGGGCGGGCTCAGACGCGGATGCGAGATCACTGGGCAAAGTTTGACTCAGACTCAGAGAGAGATCGAGGGCAGAATTATACCGAGGTGGATGAGGACTCTGACTCAGAGTCAGACGAGGCAGAGTGAAAAACGGAACAAGGTATAAGTGGAATGAGGTGGACACAAGCTTAGATGCAGAATGTGGTGAATGCGGGCTCAAAAACGGAACAAGGTTGATGCAGAATTGAGGCAAATGAGTACTACACAGACGCGAAATCCAGGCGGAGGAAAGTTTGGCATATACGTTAAACTAGTAGAGGCGGATGAGAAATCGAGCTGCTTGATGAACTCATATTCTCTGTCAAGAGTAGAGCTCGAGCTCATCTTTTGAGTTGAGTAGAGTTTGAGTTTGGGTTCGAGGACGGATTTTGGCTTGTGAGTCAAGCTTGAGTTAGGCCTGACTCGAGTTCGACTCGACTGGTTTGCACCTCTATTCCAGTCTGACCCTAACTTAACTATTCAAGTTGCAAAAAGAAGCTTCTCATATCAGACATTTATGAAAAATAGTAAAAAAAAAAATATTAAGAAAGTATTAGTTAAAAGAAATTGTTAATACTATACTAAAATCAAAATAACTAGAAAACTGCTCAGAATAGTTCTTAAATTTACTTGAAGATGGTGCTATACATGAAGAGTTTGGCACAAATTCTGTTCAAATAAAATCGAAAAGAAATGAAACCAGTCAAAATTAAAATGAAATTAGTTTTCATTCATTTCTTGGGATAATTTTAGAAGAAATTCATTGGATTTGTTTTAATTGATGAGAAATTTAAATGCTTATTTCTTGCTGTAAGAGTCCAATATTAATTTAATAATTTTTAATTAGAATCCAGCATATTTTTTATGATAAAAATAAACTATTTATTAAAATTTCACAAATAAATCTAAAATTTAAATTATATTTAAATCAAACACTCTGTGTAAACTATAAAACATATTAAGTTTTATTAATTTAAATTCCTTCAACCAAAATAAACCCAATATTTACATTCTACAGGGGCTATTACAATACTTCAATCTGGTGGAGGGCTGCCTCTCCTTAATCCACGCGCACGAGACGAGCCACAACTTCACTTACCAATGGATCGTCCGTACTCGAGTTGACGGCTACTGGTCCGGCCCGCTCGACCCGACCACATTCCAGCCCAACTCATATGTCATCCCACCCGGCTCCAAATTCGGCGGCTTCAACGACCGCTTCGGCATCGGCGACCGTCCTTCCTCAAAGGTGGCGCTTTCTCGCCTCTCCCTTCTCTCCTCGCTCGACGCGGCCGGCTACCGCAACCTCAACTCTGAGTCCGCCTTCAAAGCTCAACTCGACACATCAAAGATAGAGGCGCGGGAAGCCCCGCTCCCATTTTGCGTGTTGAGTGATCGCCGGTACGAGTTTCCTCCGGGAAGGTACGGCGTGCCGGTGGCGTCAATGGGGAGCAGAGGGCCGTTGAGCGGGGCGAAGTGCAGGCCATGTGCGGCGGCGTGTGTGGGGAAGTGTGTGGAGGAGGTGGAGAAAGTGGTGGATAGAGGGTGGAGCTGGGGGGAGTGGAAGACGGGGAGTATGGAACTATGTGATGCGAGCGGTGAGTGGGAGAGAGGGTGGGAAAAGTATTTTGATGAGGTGGCGGGGGAGGAGGTGGCGGCGGTACGGCGGGGTGTGGTGGGGATGGATTGGAGAAGCTGTGAACGGGAGTTTGAGGGTATGAAGAAGAGGGTTGGGAGTTGGGATGCGCCGCCGGTCGAAGAGATCTGCCGGTTGGGGTTGAACCGGTCGTCTGTTTCAGCGGGTGAAGGGACCTCGATCATGCATGGTGTATACTAGTTTGTATATAGAGTTTATTCTTTTTGGGTAGGGAAAGGGAGGACTCAGGATGATTTTCTTACATAATTTTTAGGAGTATTTACATAAATATATTCTATGATTTTTAAGTATTTTGCATATCTATTATTTATATAATATTAAAAATTTTTAATTACAACAAAAACTAAAATTATATATACATATATGAATTTTTTATAGAATTTTTATGTATTTAGATATCTAATAATTATTAATTTTTTAATATAACATATGAATTTTTAAATCTTATAAAAAATACCACTAATATTTGTTTTTCTAGGAGGATTTATATCTATATCGCATAATTTTTATATATTTATATATCTAACACTTAAATTAGGATATGGATTTATATAATATCTAAATTTTTAAAATGCATCAAAATTAAAAATACTATTAGTCTATACTTACACATACAATTTTTATATATTCACATATTTAGAATCTAAACTTTATATATATTATGTAGAATTTAAAATTTTAAATCACATTAAAAAAATATCATATAGATATACTTTATAAAGTAAAGTACATATTTTAATACATATATTTTGATATGATAAAATACAAAAATATTTTATTAAAATATGTTAGATATATAAATACATAAAAATTATATGATATAATCTAAAATACCATTTATGTATTTACAAATCCAATATCTAAATCTTATATTAACTCATAAAACACCACAAAAAATTATAAAAATATCACTAAAAAATACGTTTCTATAACATGAAATATACTTTTGCTTATATATATTTTGATAGGATTGTTATGCTAAGTGTTGTATAAATAAATATAAAAAATTAAGTATTAAATATGTAAATAAATAAAAAATATGTAATAAATATGTAAAAATCCCCTCTTGTTTTCTTTTGATTTGAATTAAAACGTACTGTAGCTGTGGTTGGATACAGTTGCTGTTGGATTGTATGATTAGACTATTATTATATTATTTTTAAACAAATATTACTCTAATTAATTCAAGCCATTAATAGTTCATCGGACGCCTAATATTATCAGAGAAAACAATTTAAATTAACTTGGGTGATTTAAATTGAATTTGATGACTGTAATGTAAAAGATTACTCTGATTTTACAAAAGATAATTATCTCCATTAATTATTTGAAATTAATAGGACGGTTCGAATGATGATTAATGGAGAAGATTTGGATCCCTAATTTTGATTAAGATTAATTATTGAAGCTGTTACATATTAAATTAAAATAAAAAGTGTGTTATTGGAAGGCAACGTACTCTTTTTAATTAGATAGAGGACTGCGTACCTAAAGATCAAGCAGGGGTTGCATTGTTGGTACGTTGCTATCGGATTGGTTGGTGACTTGGTGGGTTTAGTTAATCTTGAAAGAAATCAAGAACTTAAGGGTTTGTTGAGGTTTTTATTATTATTTTTTTTTTTTGTTTTAAGGGCATTATATTTTTTAATATTTTTTGAAATATTTAGTTGAGTAAGTTGTTACTTTATATATATATATATATATATATATATATACTAATTATATATATACTTATATATTATATTATATATATATATATATATATGAGAGTTAATAGTACCAACAAATTTGGAGTATTTGATCAGATGGTGGAACATTTATATATCATAATGATTTTTTTTTTATCGGATTCTTATCTTGATGGCTTGCTCTGCTCTGCTAGGGTTCCGTGCCCTTTCCCCTTCGACGTCATTTGGGGTTTTCTTCTCCTTTGATTTTCAGGTATTAGTTTTTACCTTATGGCGTCTGCTCGCCTTTGTGATCCTGAATTTTTAACTGGGGCTTTTGCGCCTCTTTCGTTTTAGGAAGCTTTATCTGGTATTTCTTCGTCTTCCTTCCCTGAGTTAAGTGTGACTTCTAATCGTGGCTTGTTAATTTCTAAGGAAGAGGTCCGGTCGCTAGCTGCACCCTTTGAATTTTCTTTGGATGGGCGTTTTCTGTGTAGACGACCTTTGGTTGATGCTATTCGAAAATTTTGCTTCAATTTAAAGTTGTTAGGGGATTTTTCGGTCACTGTGCTTAATCACCGGAATATTTTGATTAAACTGGTGAATGATTTTGATTATTGCCAGATTTTTTCACATAAATCTTATTTTGTTCAAAATTGCTATATGAAAGTAGTGAAATGGTCTCCCAATTTGGATGTTGAGGTGGATTCTCCTATTGTGCCTATCTGGGTTTCTTTCCCCCTCCTTAGGCCTCGTCTATTTTCTCCTAGGATTCTTTTCGGATTAGGTTCTCTGTTTGGTCTCCCACTCAAGTCGGATATGGCTACTGCGTCCGGTTCCCGTCCGTCTATGGCTCGTATTCTTGTTGAAATGGATGTTACCAAGAAACATGTTGATAAGATTTGGGTTGGTTCTGTGGAATCGGGCTGTTCAGACTGTAAATTTCGATGATATTCCTCATTTTTGCATGCATTGTAATTCCTTAGGTCATTCTAAGGATTTATGCCTTATTTTACATCCTTCTCTAAAAGTTTCTAAACCTGTGGATGTCCCGTGCGGGAAGCCGGAGTTGATTGAGTCTGATGATGTGAACTTTAATCTCTCTAGGGAGGATACTGTTGTGCAGGAAGTTGTTGCTAATAATTCGGAGGATGCTTGTTGCGTCCAGGAGTATTCGCGGCGGGAGAGAAATATAGAGTTTATCGTCTTAGCATTGTACGGAAATTCGGCACGCAATAAGATAAGAGAAAGGGTCTAGCATTTATGAGACACCAAGATTTTTACATGGAAAACCCCTAAAAAGGGGGAAAAACCACAGAGCCTAGCCCAGTTTGAATGAATCCACTAGTATTGCAGTCGATTACAAATGAGGCCCTTTCTTGGGAGAAGGCCTTAGCTTGATGTACATTTTATAGAGTACATTACATGATGTGAAAACAAAGAATCACTATTGACATGTTCGTTTGGTCTGGAGGACCGTAGTCGGCGGGCGACGAAGGTCGAAAGGCTTGTAGTCGGTGGGCGACGTAGGTAGGAAAGATTGTAGTCGGCGGGCGACATAAGTCAGGAGGACCGTAGTCGGCAGGCGACGGATGCCGCAAAGACTGTAGTTGGTGGGCGACGTAAGTCAGAAGGACCGTAGTCGGCGGGCGACATAAGTCAGGAGGACCATAGTCGGCTGGCGACGGAGGCCAGAAGGACAGTTGCCTTACGAGAGAGGTTGGAAGGACTGTGTCTAACGATGAAGGTCAGAAGGACGGCGTCAGGTAGAAGTCCAACAGTGGAAAGAAATCCATATTCGGATATACGTCCAGCGAAAGTTTGATAACCGATAGAAGTCCGGCATCGGGTAGAAACTTGGCGAAGAGTGAAAGTCAGGTGTCGGGTAGAAGTCCGACGTCTGTTGGTGGACGAGGAGAACTCCGGCATCACTTGGGCGAAGTTTCGGCGTCAGGAGGGAACTTTGTCGTTAATTGAGAAGAATTTCTGCATCCCATGGAAGTTGGGCAGAATTCTGGCATTCTCCCTAATATCCGGCAGTGTTTCGGCATATTCAGGCGGTGAGAAGAGCTCCGGCGGTGGTCAAGGAGGAGAGGATTCTCCTGTTCCCCTTTCTCTTCTTCTACCCTTCTTCTTCTCTCTCTTCACTTCAGTCCCCCTTTGTGAAGAATGAGGGATCTATTTATAGTTTTTTTGGAGTGGCGTGGCTCGTAAATAGGTGTGAGATCATGGGCGAATAGGGAGTGGTTTAAATGGACGGCTGATATTGAACCCTTCGATCGTGCACCGCTCGTTGGACATTTGGAGGCCTTAATGATGTCGGAATTTGACGATCTTAGGCTCGTTGGATTCGTCTCGTCGAGCCGCTTGATTTCAGTATAAGCTCATTAAAATCAGAGACCATTTAGTAACTCAAATTGTGATTTGAACCTTCCAACAGTGCTTCGGGTCCTTGATTTGGACCCATTTGGGCTCGGATTGGGTTGAATTTGGTGTCGTTGGGTTCGTATTTCCGAGACGCTCAGTTTGACTATAAGCTCGCTGAATTTAATTTTTGAAGTTTCCGGTTTAGGTTTTGTCTCGAGATTCGTGCCCGATCAAGATAATTTCATGATGACGTATCAATGCTGTTACTGTTTTGTCTCCTAATGCTATACCTTTTATTCTCTTGGTGGATGGTATTGGTCTTACGGATGGTGCTGTTGATTTGGTTCCCTCTGTGAATCCTTATGAGAATTCTATGTGCGTGGTGGCTCCTCTGGTTTTGAATTCTATGCAGGTTAATGAGGCTTTGCTGTCTGTGGAGTTGGTTGCTCCGATTCATGGTGTGGTGGTCCCTGGTGTTCATAATGTATCGGAAAATCTGGTTGTTAATGTGGATAATTTGCTGATAGTGTGCGAGTGGATAACTTGAAAGAGAATTCGGTGTGCTCTAACACTTTAGTGGATGTTCCTGTTAATTTGGTCGATACGCATATTTTGGTCAATCGCTTGGGGAAAATTCTGGATTTGATATGCGAAACCATATGGATTGGCTGAATGGATCGTCTAAAGTTGAATCGGAATCCGATTTTTAGGATTGTGGTTTGGCTTCTCCGGATATTTGTGGAGGATCGGACCCTGGAAATGATTTTATTTTGGTTCGTGATAGGCCTGTTATCTCAATTGCTTCTCGTGGGAGATTCCGTGGGAGGGGCGAAGGAGAAGATAACCTTTCTGTATAATGTATTTTTCCCCTGTTTCTACGGGTTGATTTTTGCGATTTGGTTGTGCGCTGGTTGATAGGGCAATGATGTGGCTGGGGCTCGTATCCCTTTAGCCTTGCTGGTGGCAACCAATGGTACAATTCTTATTGGTGGATTTCGGGCGATGCTGACTCCTTTTGGATGGTCCGTGCGGGGCTTCTGGGATGCTGGGAGCATCGGCCTTTTTACTGAGCCCTTTTTTGGTAGTTTTTTATCTTCTCTTTTTTTATTTTGTGTTCATTTGCTGTTGTAACCGCCTTGAATTTTGCTTAATATATTTGCTTTGTTAAAAAA